TTCCAAAGTGGATATTTAAGGGCTTAATTAGAATTTTTTAAGGTTTAATTTAATTGATTGAGGTCTTCATTATAAAAATTAATTGACTTTTTAAATTAATTTTAGCTTTAATTGGAAAAAAATTAAAATCTAGGGGTTAAAATTGATCAAATAGGGGTCAAATTAAAAAAATTAAAAGTTGATTTTTCAATTTAAAGTAAAAAATATAAAACTTTCAAATTAAAGACAAAAAAAAAAGATAATAATGCAAAACTTTAGAACCAAGGACTAAAAAAAAAGATAGTCAACTTAAGGGCTAACAATTGTATTTGTCAGGGTGCAATTAAAAAAATTAAAAGAAGAGGAACTCAATTGAAATTTTCAAATCCCAAATTAAAAGAATAGGGCTAACTAATCTCATCTATCGGATTGACAATTTAAAGAAGAGAAGGTGAGTGATATATCGATCGGGTTGACAATTTCAAATGAATAAATAGAGCCAAAAACCTCTAAATTGAAAAATGCTAGATTCTAATAAAAGGTATGCATCTCCTCTAGCAACTTTAAGTAGTTATAAGAGATAATAACATTAAAATTACTTTGAAAAAGCCTTGAAAGTAGGCAACCTAGTCAACTCTAACAATTTTGGCTAGTTAAATTGACAATTTCAAACAAATAAACATAGAGCTAAAAATCTTCAAATGAGTAAGGTTAGATTTAAATTAAAGATATCTACCCTCGTTTTCAATTTCAACTAGTTTCAGGTAAAAATTATATCAGAATTTTTTTAACGAAGTCTTAAAAGTAGGCAACTAAGTCATTCAAAGAAACCTAATTTTAGAAGAAAAAAAAAAGAGCTTTCTTTTAATGTGTTCACATGTAAAGGCTTCTTATAGGTTCTTATAAAGAGTTCACAACCCTTCATTTAAGATAAAAGGTTAAGATTAAATTCAAAATTCTCTTATAAACCCTATAAATTACCCCCTAAAATCAAAGGGAATGGGATGAAAAAAAGAAGAAGAAAAAGTAGCTATTCTGGGTATCTTTCTAATCCAAAAGCAAGCCTTTGTAGTTGTTTTTAATTCATTTTTGTTTTATATTTATGTTTACAAAGCTTAACAAAAAGGTTCGAAATGTTTAACAAATAATGTTACATTCACCTCTTTACTATTGTGATGTTTAGTTTAATATTGTTATTTTCTTACATTTCATATGTTTTAATATATATTTGTTGTTGTTTTAAGTTTGTTTGGTACATAATGTTGTTTTATTTTGTATTTTAACCTAACTTATACATGTTGATGCAAAAGTGTTTACCATAACTTTGTTATCTATGTTACATAAATATATAGGCTATGTTAAGTTATTGTTGTTTTAGATTTGACACCTCAAACTTGATTTTGGTGTTTTGATATTTTTTCGTTAGTGTTTTTGTTCAAATATGTTTATGCATGTTATGGTGATTTATTGGGATGAAAAAAACATCTTTTAGAAGCCATAAATGTTAGTTTTGAAGGCTCAAGGGCTGTGTTTTGATTTCGATGCCAAAATGTTTTTTGGGCAAATCATGTTCATTAGTTGGAAATTAAAGTGGATGGACATTAGATTATTTATCCTTACATGATTTTCAACATGTCTACGCCTTTGGTTTATCTATTTTGAGTCTAATTTGAAAATTATGGCTGTTAGGTTTGATTTTTTAAGGATTTTTATGTTCTTCTCAAAAACATTGCCTCAACTACATGATTTAGATAAATTTTGGTCAATTGCTTTTTGGGTATTATTGACAAGCAATTTAGTGTTTATTTGCATAAATAACACATTTAAAATAGATTTAAAATCTTGAATTTTGATTTTGAGCTGAAACTCATTGTGTTAAAATCGTGTAATTTTAGTGAAAATTCAAGAGATTGAATGTTAGATTTTCGTTCCTTAAATGATTCCCACCAAATATATGCTTTTTATTTGACCAAATCTGGTTTGAATTCGAGTATATGTTGTTGGGTTTGTTTGGTGTTCTTTGTTTTTCTTTATTTTCTGTGTTTTTGATTTATTTTGTTCAAGTTGTTTGAGTTTTTCATGCTTTTAACAAATTTAGTTCATTTTTTATGTGATTTTGTTTTTGATTTATTTTTAGGTCAAACCAAATTTTTGGGTTGGTTTATAATCGAACCAAAAATTTCAAGTAACTCAAACAAGTCAACTTAGTTGTGTCGAGTTAAAAAAAAAGACTTATATCCTGTTTGGTTTTGCCACATTTTTTTTTATTAAATAAAGTTTAAAAAATACTTCTTTGATTTTGCAAATGGCAAAAAATCCTAAATTTATTCTGAGCATCTTTTTTTAAAGAAAATTAAAACCTTTTTGGCATTGTTTTTAAAAAATATATTGCAATGGATTTCATAACAAGTTTATAAAATTTCAAAATATTTTGGTTTATATTTAAAAATATTTTATTTTTTTGGCAAGAAAAAATTATTTATTTTTAATATAAAGATAAAAAACCCTAAAAAGACTTTATATCCAAAATATTATTAGGAGTAATAATGATTATTTATTATAATATAAGGATAATAAAATCTAAAAGATATTAATATTCAAAATATTATTATGAATAATAATTTTATTACTCACATTGATATAAAGGTAAAAAAACTTGTATGAAGTTAATATTTAAAATATTATTGTGAATAATATAATTTATTCACTTCTAGTATACTAGATAAAAATTTTATTTAAAATTTTATTTATATTGACTCAACTACAAAAAGATTATGACATGAATCTAAAATATAATGAGATGAAAAAAACAATTATAAGGTTTAAAATCATGTAACATAAAAGGATTAAATTAAAAAATAATTAATAATTAAAATAAATAAATATTAAAGAAAAGGAAAGAGGGTTGAATCACGTGTGCCTTAACATGCACAGTGTATCTCTATCTATATTAACAGTGAAAGTTTTAAAAAAGAGAGTAAAAATCAGTCATGGTGATGGTTTGATAGGAGACAATGATGACAACGATGATAATAAAAAAGATTATGGTGGTTATAAAAGAGAAAGAAAAGATGGTAATTGAAATAATAGAATGATATTAAAAGTAAGTTATTATTAGTAAAATATTTTATAGAATATCATGAATTGAATATGTTTTATTAATATATAAAATATTTTATAAATATAAATATAAATAAAGATTTTTTTGAATTTTGTTTTCTAAAATTAAACACAGAAAAACTAGGAATTTTTTTTATCGTAAAATATTCTACATTAGGCCCTAATATAATAATAATTCGTTTCACAGCGATGCTGTCTCTCGAGCATGCATTGTCAATGTCCCTATCGTCTCATTGCTGCTTTTTGTTTTTTTTTTTTCCTTGGTTATTTTGACGGTTCTAAAATGCTGTGGAGTCTTTGTCGGGCACAACTTGATTGAATGAATTCCGACAACAGACATCACGCATTTCCCCCGACATACAAATTCATGGGTGTCTGTAAAAAAAAGAGAAAAACCTGACTGAAAAAAAACCTAGGATGATGGAGGAGGTATAAGGTGGAATTTTCTTTCTTTATTATATGTGGGCTCCCGTTGATGTGCCAAAGAAAAGAATATCCTCGTGATATGCCCTTTTAAAAAATCAAATAAAGGACTCCACCGTTTGGAATTGTGGTCCTATATTTTAAAAGATTTAAAAAATTAATGTTTTTTAATATTTTTAAATTATCTTCATACTTTATATTAAAAATAATTTTTTAAAATAAAAAATATTATTATAATATATTTTTAAATAAAAATTCGTTTGAACACCCTC